TAAATAAAATTATGAAATCTTTAGACATCTACTCGCCGTCTTCCTGCGGAACGGGCTCGGAAACCAAGTCTACCTGATTTGAAATGGTTAAGTAAGGAATGAGCTACACTAGCCCAGTAAAGACATCACACTATCTCACTGTCACAGAAGTAAAGGTTGGTAGAAAACAAAAACGACCAGTTGAGCATAATTTATAACAAACTCATTTATCAATAATAAAAATATTTACTGTCCACTTACCTTGGTGAAATTCATGAAAACAACTTATGAGAAACAATAACATCATAAATATCATAAGATCATGCACACTCTGTAACATAACACATATCATACTTTTGTATTTCAATCATCAAGCAACAAATTCCATCTTTTATCAGCCTACTAGTATCCATGGAGATCCATAGGGGGTCCCCGCTACACGTGAACCATTCACATTAATAACTTAATTTCAGAGTCGTCCCCATACCCCGTCCCCGTCCGGTATGAGGGTGAAACAAGCCGTCTCCATACCTCGTCCGGTATGGGCGCCAAAACACATAAAGTCTCCATACCCCGTTCGATATGGGATACCACGTTCCCAGTAGGGTTCCCTATGGACCCGGTCCGTCCACCATCTCCCAGGATATTTAGTTAGGCTTTCGACATTATCCATTTATCAATTCACATACCTTTTTCTATTTTTCTTAATTTTAATTATCCAATCAAACACAAATACATAAACCAGTAATGGGCACCAAACAAGGCAACGCAATATCAGGTTCACAATAATTCAAACCATAATAAATAAAACCGTGATTTATGCATTCAAAATCATAAAATAAATAGATCAAATACCGTAATGCATTTAAAACTGTAAAATAAATCAAATAAGAACAGACCGATGAATACATCAAGTTCGGGCCCCATTAGCAATCTTAATTAATTATACATATCTATTAATTCATAAAATACCATTTTATCATTTATTAAGCTTTAATGCCGTGATAGAAAATAGGATGAGGGATCCTTAATTGTTTCAGAGTCTGAAATCGGGTTCTCACTGTGCCAACAGGCAGTCCCTAGATTCCCTGAATTTGTTTCCGAAAACTGAAACACACTTCCGGTACCTGCACATGTCCCCAAAAAATTTCAAATCAAACCCAGGGCCTTTTCGGTCAATTTCAGAATTCTGGCACGACGGTTCCGCCGTGCTCCGGCGACGGCGCCGCCACCCACGGCGGCGATCCGCCTCGGGTTGGCCCTTTTTGGCCGTATTCGGCCAAACTTGAATTGGTTCCTGTGATAAAACACCCCTAGGGCTTTCGGTGGGCAAAAAATTACAGAAAATCGAAACTTACCGGCGGCAGAGCTTTCGGGTACGACGGCTCCTCCAGCGTGAGTCGCGATTTGGTGTTTTACTCCGGTCAACATGTAGAGAAAAGGACGGTGGTCACAGTGGTATAAAAATTACATCGAACGGGAACCGGGAAGGGCCTCATCGGAGGCAAAAATCGAGGAAACCTACGGCGGCGCCGTTGGAATTCGGCGGTATTTTCCAGCCAATTGGCCGGTGGTTTGGCTCCGATTGGCC